TTAACAAAAGATTTACTGAAATCACAGAAGAAATACTTCAAAAACCTGAGCTTGAAAGAGAATCATTAAGAAAAAAATGTTAGTAAAGCAAAGAAAATAAAAAAACCTCATTTAACGATGTGACTTACTAGAAATGCCGAAGAAATACACCAAAAAACTGAACTTGGTAGAGAATAACTAAGAAAAGAAAAAAGCATTAGTAGAGTGTAAAAAATAAAAATAGATCCCCATCTAATGAAGACTTACTGGAAATGCCAAAAAATATTTTAGCTAGAAATGCTGAAGAGATACTTCACGAAGCCCAAACTTGAAAAAGAAATACAAAGAAAAGAAAAAAGGTTAATAGAGCAGCAGAAAAAAAATTTAACAAAAAGACTTACCAGAAATGCTAAAGAAATACTTTAAGAACCCCAAACCTGAAAGAGAATTGTTTAGTAAAGAAAAGAAGAAATGTTAGTAGAGAGAGTGTGTAAAAAAAAAATAGAACCACTCAACAAAAAGACTTACCAGAAATGCTAAAAAAATATTTCAAGAACCGAATCTGAAAGAGAATTACCAAGCATTAATAGAGCAAAAAAGAAAAAATGTTAGTGAGCGAAAAAAATAAAATATACTTAATAAAAATCTTACCAGAAATGTTAAATATGTAACAAGTTGTTATGTATAAACAAAAATAAAATGAAATTAAGAAAATAAAAAAAATTATAAGCGCAAAAATCTGCAAAATTGAAAACTATTAAAAAAAATAATATATTATAAAAGAAAAAAACAAGTAAAACAAAAAAAAAATAGAATCAAAAGTAAAAACAAAAGACCAACCTTTAAATTTTTTGTAATACTTACTAGCCAAAATATGCTAAATTTCACAATATTGTGAAATAATTTTAACTTAAAATTTTTCAAAATAATTTTTGAAAATTTTCGAAATATTTTGCAAAATATTTCAAATTTTAAAATATTTGAAATATTTCAAAAATTTTTTCGAAAATTTTTATTATTTTTTCATAATGCAAATTTTTTCGAAAAATTTCAGGTATATAAATTTGCTGATAATAATGCCTATATATGTTCTGAAATAATGCACATCTATAGTAAGAAATATTTATTTATAGTAATATTAAATAATGCTTTGAAACTAGATGTGTTACTAAATAAACCTTGGTTCAAAGCATTTTTGTTACATATATGAAGATACTTAAATATTTTATATTTGTTTCAAAATAATACTCATATGTATACTTGAAATAATGCATATATACTCAAAATAATATACAGATGGATGTTATTTTGTAAAAATACAATTCTGCTTTAGTTGCTAACTCTTATATTAAATCTAACTTGAGTTCTAGAACAACTAATTTCAAAACCTCAATATATAATCATCAGTTTTAATTTCAGTTTTAAAACTTCTTCTCATATATGTTTGTTGTTTTTCTTATTTATTACATTGCAACTTGAAACTTTCTGAGAATGAAAGTGGTAAATATTGCTGATCTTTTGCTAATCTTTTAGAAGGGGTAGCTAAATCCTCTACTTTTGTTAAAAATTATAAAAAAAAGAAACAGCCCAAGAATAATATAGTTTTGCAAGATTCCAAATTTAGAAATATTTTTCTAATCTGTTTGTTTTACTCTTTAGTTTTTTTTCTTCTAAATATAGATTTTATTGCTATAGTATTTGGGTAGTATCATTTATCACCTGATTTTTTTATCAGAGGCTTACCCCCTCCCCCTCTTACTATATATCTTGATTAGGTCTTTATATATAATTTTAAATTTTTTACCCTTCTCTCCTCTAAAAAATCACCTAATTTTTGTTACATCTCTTTTCAAAAAATCTTTTTGTTTTGAATACCAAATATGTAAGGAGAGTTTATCAGAAGACAAGCTTGACTCCTTCAAAAACCAACTACAGCTGCTTATATCTCGGTATATCATATTTGTAGTCTTTATCAACAAGACTTTGTTACTAAAAATAGAAGTTTACTAGGACTTCAAACTTTAATTTTGTCTTGCATTTAGTAAAAATTTGGTTAAAGTGATTATTAGAAAAAGTTGTTTATATACAGTCAACCCTCTGTAAATGCATATCATCAGGACCAAACTTTTGAGAATATATATTTAGAAAACAATAATAAAATATGTATTTATGGGAGTTTAGTATATATTTGGGCCAGAAAATTAATATGCATTTAGAGAGATCATGCACTTAGAGGATGTATTTAGAGGGCCGACTGTATATGATATTATAAAATTTTAAAGTAAATTCAGAAGAATTATTGATTATATAATTGTAAATTTTTTGTACTGCTAGTTATTAAAAGTAAATATACAATTATAAAAACTAAAAAATATATATTTTGTGATCTATTAGATCAATTTTAACAATTTAACTACTATTATGATTAGAATTCTCTTTACAATTTTATAAAAAATAAAAAAGAATATTATTTAGTAAAAAAATTAACCTGTTTTTGAAAAACTTCAAATTACAAAAAAAAACAAAAAAAATAATAATAAATTTGGTCAATCTTTAGTATAGATAGATATATATAATTATTATACAATTATAATATATAGAAATTAACTATTTTAAACTAATTTATATAATTTTATAAATTATTAAGATTAGAGTTAAGGTTGGAATTTAAATTAGCTCAAATTAATTAGTTTTATATATTATAATTTTATAATAATTTATATATACCCATCTATACTAAAAAGGATCTGCAAATTTTTCTACAGTTTACTATATTTTTTTATTAGTTTTTATACAAATTACAAATTAATTTAAACACAGTTAGACCTCACTATAATTACCAAATTTAAAAATAAATATTTAGTAATTATAAAAAAATATGACTAAATAAAGATCAAATTTTATATATTTTATAATGTTTAAAATTAAGAAATAGTATAACTATAACAAGGTTGTAACTATATCAAGAGTAACTATAACAAGATTTGACTGTATATATATACAATATTTTTAACTTTTGAATTTTTTTATACACAAAAATAGTATTATATATATATAATTAATGTTATATTTACTATTTTAAAAAACAAATATATTGTAGAGATTAAAATTTTATAATTTGGAATTATACAACGTTGTTATTAATTGTCTGGAGCATAGTGACAGACACTCAATTTTTACGCATTAAGTGATACAAAAGTTACGTTTTTGATGCGTTTCGACCATCAAACGTAATTAACATATCAATAATGTAACTTCGAAATTTTTTGTCTGTCCCTCCGCGTGACGCGTGATTACAAAACTATTTTGAAAACAACAGTCAGGGATTTTACCAAATATGGGGGACGCTTAAAGCCAGGTCCATTGCGAATTTAAATTAACGTTAAGGTTAGGGTCAGTTTAGGGCCTGTATGGACTAATATTAAAAGGTTTCTATATGTAAAATCGTCCCTCGACATTTTTTCTTAATGTACCAAGATAGGTTTAGACATTGGTTTCTTGTATTTTTCTCATTTTTTTCTTTTTTCGCTTCGTCGGGCTGATCCGCGTAAACAAAAATTGGAGATTTTGATTGGTCGTGCATAACGGGAGATCTCGTGATGGACCTGGCTTTAAGCGACCCCCAAATATGGTAATGCTCCAGACTTATATCGGTTCCCAATTCCTAGTATAATAATTAATTTGTGATGTAAAATGATGTCATCAATCAATTTTATCAGTTTAATGTAGTGTTTATTATCACTATATATATAAAAATGTTGTATATAAATGGAGTTGCAAATCCGACATTTTGATCGCACTCATTTTGAGATAAACAAAATTTTAAGATAAACAAACTCTTTCGCGTACCTTTCAACAAAAAACAAAATGTCTCCAAAAACAAAAGCAAACGTTGCCAAACCTAAGAGGCCTACCTATGAAGATATGATTTATGAAGCTATTGTTGCTTTGAAAGAACGTAAAGGAAGTAGTCGCCAGGCTATAAAGAAATATCTTATAAACACGTATAAAGTTGAGGATAATGCTACTTTGACCCAAAGTTTTCGCAGAGCGCTTACTAGCGGTATCGAAAAAAACCGTTTTGAATTTTATAACGATCCGAAGGGCACTATCAAGATCATTAGAAAAGATGTTGATGGTGTTAGAAGACCAACAGTTCCTAAAACTTCTAAAACTAAGCCTGTGAAGACAGCTGCGGTTGAAAAGAAAGTTTCTAAACCCACGTCTGATAAAAAGACCTCTACTACAAAGAGTACCAGGAAGAGTACCACCAAGGATACCGAAAAAGATACAAAGGCTACCCCAAAGCGTGCCACCAGGAGTACTACGAAGAGTACTGAAAAATCTTCCGTTGTTACAAGATCGGCCTCCAAAGATGTTGAAAAACAATCCAAGTCTTCTACATCTCCAAGGGCTAAGACTTTAAGGAAGAAAGCTACTAAGGATGACGCTTAAGTCTTTCGATTTGTTTATCATGTCTTTATCGGTTCATATGTATGCCACTTTATTATACTCAAATTTTATGATGAGTCGGCTATTTTTTTTTAGTGTAAATTCATCATTTATTGCAATTATTAAGTGAATTTACCGTTTTTTACTATGCTTTTACGTAAATTTCTCAATTTGCTTTCTTTATCGGCGATTACATTTGATTTGATTGATCTTATGCAATGAAATTTATAAAATAGTTTTCATTTTATACAATTGTTTGTATCATTCATATATCTTCTACAATTGCTTGTATCATTCATATTGATCACAACTATTTTATAATGCTGAAATATTAAAAAGATTTTATAATGCTGAAATATTAAAATATAC